ACACACTCTCACCCGTTTGAAACCAAAACAAAGTAATTGGGTAAGATAGCAGTTCTATAATTTATCATAAATTTAAGTGTACATTATTACCTAAACAAATATAACCACTCACGTACAGATTCGTTCAAAAGGTAATAATTGGTCGCTCTATAACACAGTGTGTTTTCAATTCTGGAATAGTGCCTCAATTCACAACCAAAATGCACAATTCCAGTCAACACAGGTCAAGCAATCAAAAGCAGGAACAAACCAATATGGCTGCCGCCCAGACTTAGTACAAAGTAAAATAACATAAGTGCAGTTCGGAAAGAAACACGGGGAATTAGTGAAGGTGTAGTAAAAACAAAAACTATAATAAAATACAAATATTAACAATTCAAATGTTGTCGAAAATTAACAACGTACAACTAAGAGGATCAATAGAAACAAAGTGCAAGTATGTACATGGTGGGATTTTCACAAACACACAAAGCATTCAAAATGGATCTTACACCATAATATCTGTATAAATAATGTGAATATTGTGTAAGCATAAGTTAAACTCGTGTGTAGAACGGCATTTTCAACGGAACTAAAAATGGTTTATCCGCACAATTTGTGCATGAATAAGCTATTTGTGTATAACAGCAATATGGACTGAGTTGTTAGTACTTTCAGGGCTCGAGGTACTAGATTTCGTAAACACTGATCAAACTTATGGTATTAGAGACTGGTCATATTGCTGCTGATCACTAGTATGTCATCCACAAGCTCGAACAGTTGGGGTTACGTCATCAAACTTATAATTCGGTGCACTCATATCGATAAAAGGAATGTTAGGCTACGATTGAAAGTCATGGTCCAGTTTATGGTTACATTTCAATGGACTACCCATATTATTCGAATAATCATATTAAGAGGAGTATCGGTCTGTGTCACTTTTTACCTGTATGCTTTGGTTTTGCGTAAATTATGTGGACCGTTCAGTAATTCTCTGAAAAGGAAAGAATGAGTGTTTTGGCTGTCTGTTTATGAATAATGAAATGATTTTATTAATCAAAGGATAACGATCTAACCAACGTAACTGACATGTTGTGGGTTGATAACAGTCTATATTCAGTATTTATACTTAAATCAGTATAAGTAAAGGATGAAGATATGTCAATATTTACGTCCTATTCTTCCGTAGCCTTGATCAGGATATTCAGAAATGTAAGTCCATGACATGTACGTGTGGACCGAAAAGTAACCTATAAGATTTGATTTTCGGAAAAAAATTGATTGGCCACATAAGACAGTATGATAATATCATGATATGTTGTAAAAGTAAACTAGTCTCTAAAATGTCTGAATTACGTTTAAAGTAGTGGCCCTTCACAATTCTCACTTCTTCTTTGCTGTCCATGTTATCACAGGCCGGGTTCGTACCCAGTGCTGTTTGTCCTGATATTGTCGCCTAGATCCCCCGCCGAGGTCCTCTAATATTTTCCCATGTATTTCTGCGAACTCGACTATAGATACTCATAAGTCTGATATTTATCACCTCTGCTACTGTCATTGATGAATATGTATTATTGACTGACAATCACTGCAACTTTAGCCTTTCCAGTGCTGAAGAATGTTATTATGGTCCTGGAACCACGAGTTTCTCGTCCTATGACCGCGTCTAGCGTTTTTTGGAGAGTATGTAAAATTTAGGTCTAGGTTAGTATTAGTTCACTCATCTACGCTACTAGAATGATAGATCTAACCCAATATTGTGGACTTCCCATAATACGACATTGGTGCGGTATGATGATATATTAATCAGGTGACTCTGTTAACGGCAATGGTTTCAACTATGTTGAAAATTTACTTAGACAACTAATGTGACGGCAAGATTCTCAAACTTTAATACATACAGTATTAAAGAGTATGATGGTTTTAGTAGACAATACTATGTTGAATTTCGAACGACTGTCTAATTTTGATAGCATGGAAATAATATGACACAATCAAATATGTAGGCTAGAATGACGCATAAGTTGTTGTAGGATGTAAAAAGAAACTTAAATTTTGAGACATGGCTTGTAGCAATACAATTAACAACGTGACTAAAAAGACTGTGTCTTCTTTGAAAGGTTGCTTGTGATTGTTAGAAGTATTTGAATTATTGTACTGACTAGGAATCCCTGAAATAGCTCAACCTAAGTAAACAGAATCAGATAAGTACTAACGAACGTCTTTTATTTGGGATTTGAAGTCAGATAGTCTTCATGTACAAAGGAATCGTCAGTTTGTGCAAACACCTCAATGCTGCACTTAGTGAAGTGTATAACAATTATAGGTATGTTGAAAAGATGATCGAAACAACTAAGAGGTGTCAAATTAATATTGAATATGACACGGCCCTCCTACAACCATCGTACTCCCTCATAGTGATATGTTTTCACATGCATCTATTAAATATATCATATGTCGAACACCGGTTTGGCAGTGATACCTATATGATATGCATGACTAGTCTAAGTGAAAATATATGCTACATGTTATGTTGTACTGTTGACATAACTAACCATCCAGCGAAGTACTGAAACTCATCTATATCATTACTTAACCAGTTTATCCAGTATATGAGAAGCAAACACCCAATTTTAGGAAATGGTATATATTCTGAAAGAACTTCATCAGACCTTCAGCAATGAAACTAATTCTTTGATTTCAGTGATGCTACTGACTCTGTAACTCGGAAGATTCAGATAAGTCCCTAAACAATCAATATAAATGCTTGGCTTTCTTAAAAAAACAATCTGGTATATTATCTTTGTTATTTGATGATGAAACTCAAAAATTCGAAGTTTTGTAAACGATAGTTGAAAGAAAAGATGTTAAGAGATAGCTCATATTCCAATATGAGCCTCTCCTACCCATATTTGAGACCGGCAGTAGTTGTAAGTGAGCTGAGAAGGAATTTTAATTCTCAAATGATTCTGTTATCATTATTATTATTCATAAATAGCTTAAGGGGGCATAAGTGCTGTAAAGAAATCTTTTTTTGGTTTCTTCAATAATATAATAATACACAAGTTTAAACAATGTCAGCATAATATTTGCCTTATTTGAAAAAAACGCAGGTTCTGTGTAATTGAGGAGAATGGTAATAAGAGTGTGATGAATATCGACCTCTGAAGTAAACCGTTGATTTTTTTAAAGGTATTTTAGTGCACCCGAGTAAATACACGTAAATTTATGTAAAAGGATTAAGAGTAAATCTTGATATTAGTATGAAATGTTTTACAATAATAATTTCGAATGGTGCTATGAAAATCACAAAGGATAATTAAATATCGATTTCTGTGTTATATATATGTGGTGAAGATAAAAACGAATCTGGAAAGTTAATCTATTCTAGTGTAGCATAAGATAATTTGATTTTAGTTAAAGACTTTGGATATTTAGGGGGAAAAATTGGACTTAAAGGATATCTAATGTGTCGAGGAACTAATCGTAGAAGTGATAACAGTAATGATCATAAATGTGAGCTTAAGAAGACTTCAGATATTAAGATGAATAGAAAGAAAATATAAAAAACGAAAAACTTTTCAAAGGATATGCTTTGTTCTGGCGTAACTAGTGTGTTGTGTTCCATTATCAGACACCTCTTATTCTCCTGTGGCTTAGTGAGAATAATCTAGGTCGTTGTAGTCTGCTCTCATAAGATTCATGTTTTAGCCCTGTTTCCCATTTAGTTGTCTACCTCTGCACTTGTTCCAAGAGATTTATTTCTTTTTTAAGTAAATGGGGTGTAGCGACATCATGGACTTCAACTTGGGACCATGCTTACGTTTTAAACAGTGCCGGGTACAACTCGGGTGAATTGCGCTAAGTGGACTAAGCACAAAGTAGAGAGTCATGTTTGTTTTGACTGCATCCTTACTCTGCTACATGGACCAGTTCATGGCATGCAATAAAATGATACACATTAGTTTTCCTTTATTTTGCCAGGACCGGTGAACTGTTTGACATTAATCAACTTCACTGCCGGATGATTTGGCTCAGAGACATTTAAATGGTTGCATAGTGGATATTTCAGGTTATTGGTGAGAGATCAATGAATCACGTCAAACTCGAAGAGCGAGATGATAATACAGAAAGTCTTAGGCATGCTGGTTGAATGAGCAAGTAATTGGCCATCAAACGTAAATTGTACCAAACATATGGTAGTTAAAGGTAGCCATTACAAAAATTTACAGAGCTAGGCAATAAATGTAATTGACGATAGATCCAGGAGTTATCGTTAATAACCGTCTTACAACTACAAAAAACTCCAAGGCGGTCGTTGCCAGAAGCTTCTGGGTCTTATGAACCAATCGCTAATCCCACTTGAAATACATGATTCAAGTAACCAGTTCTTGTTCCGAATACGAACTTGATGTAAATGAAAAGGTTCAACAGTGAAGAATCAAAATGACAGAAGGTCTTTACGACTTGCCTTGTGAAGATAAATTGAGATGTATAATACTATTCTTGCTATATAAACACAGATTGCGATGAGATCTAATAATACTTTACATTATAAGGAAAAATAATTCAGAAATCAATTCATCACGCGTTTTTCCTGAGCTAGAACTAATCATTTTAGATGATATTCTCAGTGCCTAAACTACGACAAAGTAGTTCTTTTCTAAAGTTTCTTTACGTGGATCAAGTGGCAAATCACTAGACTGCTCCAACATATTACGTAATTTCAGTATCTTCCGCTGACGGATTCATAAAGAGATTAGATATCCACAACACTAATGATTGCGAGATTTAAATCGTCGCTAGAAATCCTATTTTTACTTTTAAAAACCTGAGACTGACATCAAAAATCAATACGTTTGGAAGTCTTTCTTAAAAAATGACGCACTTTCTGAGGCGAAATAATTGAGGGATCATGTTTTGTTTTTTTGTATCAATGAGTAACCTTGTTCACACTACCGCAATACATAAAAGTTCTCATCTTATTGTAAAGACTCTGTTGACTGTTGGATAGTACACATATGGATGTTGTGATTGATAGTCGGGATTCAGTGAGTAATCTCGATCAGTCCCGTTGGGGCATAAATCTAGACAATTTACTGAATGATTCAGACGGTGTGGAATTTTTCAACAAATTTCTTTCCTATAAACATTCTGCAAGTCATCTTCTTGATTTCTGGTTTGCCTGCAAGGGCTTCCGGTCAAATGCTGACTTGTCCAATCCTGACAAGCTTTTCCAAGTCGCTAAAGTTATTTATAGGACTTATATAAAGTCAGGTGCTTCACATGCAGTTCCGCTTCCTTATATTTTAAAACAAAACATTAATGAGTGCCTGTCGTCCTACCATCATGGGTACAAAAACGGCCTCTCTTCCAATGCTTCTGTACAACCCCCTGATCGGTGTCTGTTTGACTCAGCACAGAGTGTTGTAAAAAGTCTTCTGGAGCAAAAATATTATCCCGAGTTCCTTACCTTCATCTCATGTCCCAGCAATTTATTATGTATAACTTCAAGTGGACCACTCTGTTCTGACAGAAAAACACGAAACAAGTACCTCGAGTTTCTTTATTCAGACTATAAACTGGAAAGTCGTCGATCAAATCGCACTAAGCACAAGTCATTTTCTGAATACAATAGGTTTTCTGCTGATCAGTAAGTTCTATAATTGTTTTCTCAGTTTTATTTATCCTGTTGAGCATGAACGTTTAGTTCGTAGGTTTGCCATATTACTCCTTGAGTACTGCCTAGTTGCCGGACCATATCCATCTCAACTCTCTGTCTAACCAACTGTTTCCGATTCATCATTCGTTTACTATGATAAAGTCAGCTTTATTACTAGAGTTATTGGGATGTTAGATCCTGAATTTAAGGGGACGTTTTACTAAAACACAGGACTCGAATTTATTAACTAACTCCTACTTAATACCCATGTTCATATTTTCAGATGAGATTAAATTTCCACTTACTTGGGTTTTAGGTATTGAGATTCATGTTTAGAGTTGAGATTTTCCAGACTTTTCAGACTGTTTTATACATAAATTTACATGGCTTTGCAAACCAGCTACGATTTTTTTAAGTCTGAATTACTGATATTCACAATAACATTAAAATAATAAATATAGCCATAATGTCTTTATGTTTGCTTCCAACGTTTTTTTGGGCGGAAAGCACTAAGTTGATTGGGCAGGGTTCTGGCTTTAACTTAGTTGAAGGCAGCGGTTCAACCCGTAAGATCCCTTTATACAGTTCAATAAGTACTTGTACTTGGCTTCGCGCTGCAATAAGGTTGAATGATACTATCTGGTACCAATATAAATTAATTAGGATAGTTTTAACCCGTGATTTACTGGTTAAAAGTGATTTAACTAACAATTTTACAGTGGTAAAAGTTAAATAATCAATCCGTAACTCAAATTGTAACTAACTACGTCATAATTTACTTGCCAATACTTTACGAAGCTGAGTTGTATATATGAAATGATAGGACTTTTCCTGATTGATACTTAGTGAGTTATACCTCTAATCCTCGGTTATATTTTCATATTATACCATCTTTGGTGGCCAATGTATGATTTACTTAACTTACCGTTACTAATTAATTCGATATTTCAAAGACCGATTAATGTTAGCACCATAGAAATGTCAGAAATATTTACGAAACTGTTGGTAAAAAAGAATAGGAAAGAATCTCTTCCTAATGTTTAGTCATTTTGAATCCATATTTTATTTCCACCCACCACTTACGGATTGAATATAATCGATACTAATTCAGGTCGTAAATTATATCGCTGAAACATGAACACATATATTGTGCGAAAGAAATGTTCAATATGATCTCAGGTTTAGAATAGAAACACTAAAGAGTAATAGCCCAATACGTGATTATAAGCGCAAAAGAAACTAATTCCTCATTTTCTTAAAAATTAAACTATATGACGTACTTTTAGCGAGGTTGATGTCTAACCAATTAACACTAATAAAATATGGAAGTTTTTACTGGGTAAAATTAACCGAACTAAAACTAGACAACCATTTATTGGAAGTGTATATTTAATTATTACTTATTTGAACAAATAAATATTGGTATAAGGGGGCACCAAATGTATATGCGCCACAAAAAAACAATGAGAGTGGGAAAAGAAAAAAGAAGGTAAGGTGTGCATAAGGAAAAGAAGAAAAAGAGAATAATAACGACCACAGATTAGTGTAAGGTAGTGTAATAATAATAATAACGGGGGAGATGGAAAGGTACGACCAGAAGAAATCTTTCAGTTAAGGAAGATACAACCACTTTTTACGAAGAAAGTAAAAGAAGGTTACAGCAGGATCGCCACTGGCTTCTATTCTGAGCCATATCTGATAACGTCTCTAGCCACTGTGCCCCACCATCTATCGGACCCCAGGCAAGGAGTCGTGAAAAACCAACAGAAGCCAGCCCTTTGCAGCTTTCTTTCATGCACTGACCACCTCCGCTTTTTCCAACCAGTCTCAGCGTCGGCAGATAATGCACGACGTGAAATTCTCTGAGACGACATTCGTAGAACATATCCAAGCCACCCAAGTCGATGTTTCAAGATGGTGACACCAATTGCATTATCGTCTCTGCGCCCAAACACATGATGCCGAACCTCTGCATTACTAAGGTGGTGTTGCCAGTGGATGTCAGCAATCCTTCGGAGACAACGATAATCAAACACAGAAAGTCGTCTAACATCCTCAGCTCGGAGAGGCCAGGTTTCACAAGCATAGAGTAAAACTGCTCTCACCGACGCGTTGTAGATCCGACCTTTTACGGGCAGACTGACATCACGAAGGCGCCAAAGATGGCTCAGATTGGCATAAGCCACTCTGACTTTCACCATACGTGCACTGATATCATCACTCACACCCCCACCAGCACTTATGCAGCTACCCAGATACACGAACTTCTTGACTACTTCTATCTGCTTACCATCCAGGGTGAGTACGGGATTAAGATCCTGCCGGTCTTGTAGAAGTACTTTGCACTTTGAAGGTGCAAAGCACATACCGTACCTACAGACATTGATTACCAACTGATTAAGTGTGGATCGCATGCCTTGGGCATTATCGCACAGTAAGACAATATCATCCGCATACTTAATGTCGAGAAGTCTTTCTCCAGACAACAGATCCACACCGCCATTACTTACATCCATCAGAGCTGTTTCCAGAATGTCATCGATGGCAAAGTTGAAGAGGAATGGTGAGATTGGGAAACCCTGTATAACCCCACTGCTCGAATAGACCAGTGGTGAAAGGTGGTTGTATGCCCTCACTCTACCTGAGGTGTTTGTATATAATGCCTTTAATATTTTAATGAACTTCTCGGGTAGACCCTTCTTCAATAGATAATCCCAGAGAACAGTCCTGTCCAACGAATCGAAGGCAGCCTTGGTGTCAAGAAACACTACGATTGTTGGCCTTTGATAAGTATGGCGGTGTTCTAACATTTGGCGGAGGGTGAAGATATGGTCAATACATCGTCGACCAGAATGATACCCAGCCTGCTCCTCGCGAGTCGATCTTTCTCGGGTTTTGAACAACCTACGAAGTATGATGGAAGCCAATAGCTTGGACGCAATCGGAAGTAGACTTATCTCCCGATAGTTGTTACAGGAACGACGTGAACCCTTTTTAAAGATAGGGACAACTATCGACTCATTCCATGACGTTGGTACACTCTCTAACACCCAAACCTTTGTAAACAACGTCGTCAGTTCCTTAGTCAGAAAGTCACCACCATCTTTAAAAAGAGCCGGAGGTAAGTCATCTGGGCTCTATTGGAAGTGTATACATCTCGTTAGACGATTGTTGTGGATTGGCGGCTCAGTGGTTAGGGCATTCGACTTTCATCTATTGATTCATGTCTTTGAGTGACTTCTCACGTACTTTGGTTCGGGCAACGGTTAGCCTTCATATTTAGTGTAGCTCATACCCAATTATCCGGTGAATAAATTAGTTTAACTTATTGCTGTTGGGTTTAACAACTCAATTCCTATTCATTAATTTTGCGTAACATTAATGTTGGTATAGCGATATTAGCAACAGTCAGTTGTAAAGGTAATTCTCGACTAGAATGTAGCATTCGGTAAACCCTAAAATACTAAGAAGATTCCATTTCACCCCCATGTAAATACGATGAAATATTTAAACTCGTGGTAACTTGTGCTAGGTCCGGCATTAATTAATGACTGATTGAGTCTAATATCAGCTGTTTTACACTTTAAACTGTAAATTAAAATATTAACTACTTAAAATCATCACTTTTTGTAAAAACAAAGACCAGTTATTATAATTATAGCCTACGAGATAAAATTTTGTATAATGTTGGTTTGCTGGTTTTAAAACACAACTTATAACCACCATGTCACTGGTTAGAACCCCGATTCTCTTTGGATCCAGACAGTCAGTATTATTAGCCCTTACAAAAGCAATGTAGGTTGAAACTAAATGTTCTAAATTTTTTACTGTGAACGGGGTACTATGAGACTGAAAATTCTTAATTTGGCTGATACTTATGTCAAGGGAATACCAGTCGATATAGAAAGAGTAACTAACGGATTTTCACTAGATTAGTGATGGATATGATAAAGAAGTGGGATGCTGAAATTAGGCCAAGTGTTTTGAGTGTTATATGTTAGAGACTTTGCGGTTTTAAGGGATTTAATTGATGAATTCAAAAGTAGGACAAAAAGTTTTCCTCGATTTTTATATCCGATATCCAGACATATGGGAATGGTAGTTAAAACCAGTTTCTTGCTGAAACATTCTTACTTTTGTATTGTTAATGAACTTTAAGGAATTGTCCAGTAAAGAAACAGTAAGTCAGTCCCAAACAACGTTAAACGTAACGTTGGTTCAAGTTGCCACACTTTATCAGCACAGCGAAATGAAATCATCAGGATAATAGTCAGAATAGTAGAAATGGTAACAATATCATGTTAAGGTAAGAAGCGAATGGATATACTCCATTGTAACTGATTTTAAGTCATGTTACCGAATATCTTTGACTATTAATTACCATAGTTGCTTAGAAATCAGATGGTGCTAAATCTGTCAACACAGCTTAATTCAGCAGTCAATAACAACTTGATAAGCCTCTTTTACTCTAATCCATTTTTTGTGAAATGGATAAAATTATTTTTATACTAATTCTGAAAACATCTTTTGTGTGATTATTATTTATCTTGCTTAAGTGAACCAGAGTGGAATGTGGTTCGAACTTACGACCTAATTTGTTATAAAAAGAAACAACTGGATATTGAAGATATCATATCATATACCAAATAGGTTTATGTCTAGTATATGTAGGCCAAATGAAGATCAACTAATTTCATTTTACGAGTATAGGGTTGTGGAGATTATTAAGTTTTTGATTGAAATCATGAACCGATTGATGTTAGACCACTTTTGGAAACCTGGAAGCACTGGACGGCCATTTCGTCCTGTTGTGGGACTCCTCAGCAGTGCGCATCCACGGCCTCGCCCGCTGCGAGATTCAAACCCAGGACCTACTGGTTTCGCGCGCGAGCACTTAACCACTAGACCACTGGGCAGGCTGGTATTCAATGGTGTGAATGTCTAACTTCAACTAATCCACGAAATTGACTGACACATCCACCATTGTCTTCAGTCAGTTACTACCTCACAACAGACCTGATTGGACTCCACTGGTCACTACTCACTAGAACTCCAGGATATACCTCGTGAAGCCAGTCACTAGTGAGCGTATGAGCATATAATATCCACAAAACCCATCTGATATATATATATATATATATATATATATATATATATATATATATATATATCACTTACGGTTTTTCATGTAGTTTATGTAAAATTAAGGTCATTTGACAAAAAAAACTAGTCTCTTCACAATTCAATTTTCTTCTTTGATCTAAACATGATTCTACCATTTAACTTGTTTCTACACTTTTTATGTTTTTCTTTTACTAATGTGTAATAGTAATCGGTGTAATAAGCAAACAGTGAATAGACACACATAGTTAGATACATACACTAAATTAGTAGTATCGTATTAAAAATAAGTAGTAGTAGTAGTAGATAGTGACTACAGCAACAACAACAACAAAACAATAAACGCTCTTTTACCTAACATTTACGCTTCTGTTTTTTTATATCAAGAATATTAACATAATAAAAAAAAGAACATTTTATGCAAAAATGGAAACTTTCGACGCTCACTTACACACACACATAAAGACATATATATGCAAATATACACGCATACATGTGCGATCAAACAAATTTTATGTCAGTGCACTAGACATAAAAGCAATGAATGTTTTATGTGCACACGAAAGTATATGGGGGGATGTGAATGTGTACGTGTGTGTGTGTGAGCGTGTATGTGCATATGATAGAAAGTAAAATGGTTATTTTATAAGAAAACGTTGAATATTTATTGTCGGCATCTCACATCAAAAGACACCACCTATGATTCTATCTATCTATCTGTTTGAAGAAATGAGAAATCACACATCAAAGTAAACAACAACAAAAAATAGCGACAAAGCAATAAAACTAGAGAAAAATTAATCGCAACGTTTTACAGAACAGAGAACATGCGCTTGTGTGTGAGGTAGTTCACGAGAAAGAGAGAGAATGAAAAACTCATAAAATTCCATTTTGTGTGAATGATATTCTCTTAAATAGAATAGAGGATTTTTATGACTATTTTTTTATATTTTGTTTGCTTAATTTTAGGTGAAGGTATATTGTAATGATAACGATGACTTTCGTTTATTTTTAACAATCTATGTACAGAAATATATTTGTATCAGAAGGGATTTTGTGAAGATTGTAGTAATTTCAATAGTTGAGGTCATGAGTCCATTGAAGCTAGACCATCATGGAAAACCTGGAATCATTAGACGGTCGTTTTGTTCTATTGTAGGACTCCTTAGCAGTGTGTATCTACGACCCTACCTCGCGAGATTCCAACATAGGACCTATCATTCTCGAGCCGGAACGGCCGTTTAGTGCTTCCAGGTTGTCCATGATGGTCTAGCTTCAATCGACTTATGATCTCAACTGTTTAAAATTACTACAATCTCCACAAAACCCCTTCTGATACTAATCAACATATGCTCACTAGTGACTTGCTTCAAGATATATATCCTGGAGTTCTAGTGAGAAGCAGTGACCAGTGGAGTTCATCCGGGTCAGTTGTGAGGTACTAACTCACTGATGACAATAATGGATGTGTCGCTCAATTTCGTGGATTAATTGAAGTTAGACATTAACACCGTTGGATGCCGGCTCAGTGGTGTAGTTGGTTAAGCGCCTGGCGCGAGAGTGATAGGCCCTGGGTTCGAATCTCGCAGCGGGCGAGGTCATGGGTGGTCACTGTTGAGGAGTCCCACAACAGGGCCAAACGGCCGTCCAGTGCTTCTAGGTTCTCGATGGTAATCTAGCTTCAATTGACTCATGATCTCAACTGTAGAGATATATTTCTTCACTTTCTATAAAACAATTTGAAACATCAACCAAATATTCAATATAAAGATGAAATTCAGAAAGCAGTTGGTTACTAAAAATAAGAGAAGAGCTTAAGTGGTCGATAGTATTTGTGTTATAAGTTTTGGCCTGTGTGCCCAATTAGAGAACAGTGAATTGTCGACCGGACCAATGACGACGCATGAAGCACGTACGAGCAGTCTACAGTACTTGTCAGTCCTACTTCCTACCTAGCCCAGCCAGTTAAGTCCAGAACACCAATCTAAGCCTCTGAGATGTTTTTTGTGAAAGGAAATCTTCCATATATACGATATACCTTCCTAAACTGATAAAAAACGGTTTATACTTTCAAATGCATAAAATCTCAACCGGAGTAGGGTAGTTTTCAGATATCATCGATTGTGTTATCTACTTTTTGGTTCTATAAAGTCATCGGCAATTAGACTAAAACCTATTGTTAAATTTAGACGTTCAATGATGGATCAGAATCAGTTACAGTGGAGCAGATCCATTCCCTTTTTATCCTTCCTTAGATCTTATGCTCTTAATTAACTTTCATGTTTTATTTTCAAAACTCATTTTTTCCTCCCGAATCATACTGTCGGTGTCTAACCTTTTCTGCCAATATGGTACTGTTACCATTTCTACTATTCTTGCTATTGTCTTAATATTTTCATTTTGCTGCGCTGATGAAGTGTGTCAAGTTGAATCAGTTCTCTTGTTAGGTTTAAATATTGGAAAATCGATATCGTTGATATATTTGAATAATTCCCACTACTCTTTTGTATTAGTGAGTTTGATGTTCAGAACACATAGTTTTGAATCAATACGCCAAAGGTGTTGGTATCTTATGGTAGACCTGTGGAAAACTGAACATTTGTAACTGTGAGGTCCCAATAGTCCTTGGTCATTTTGTTTTTCAGTGGTTCACTGTTTGATATCAACACACGACTAAGAGACTATTTCAAACACATAAAAAGGTAGTGCTTGATTATTGCTCTTTTTTGATATTAATTATTCTAACGACATTTCTCAATCACTTACTTCTTCAAACTATGTTGTTGATATCAGGATTGAAGTCAGTAATTGTTTTCACTGTTTAAGCTTGGATTTGGTTGACTCTGAAAAATATGTATTCCACTTGACTGTCTATCATAGGATATGTCAATTGTTCAAAATATCTGTATCAAATCATAGTTTTTTTAGTTTTAATTCAGTTTACTAAGTCTATTTATGATTGCATATCATTTTTTAGATCTCCTGGCGCCAAGAATTTTCATCCCTTATTCACTCCAGATTATAACCTTGCCAGTAATAATAATAATAATTGTAATATACCTTCGACTTCGGAACAAATTTCTGCAAATCCTTTTGTTCGACTAACTACCAGTTGGACATCTTCATCAATCCAATCACCAATTATTCATTCTGCACAACCTGATTTTCACTATGATAAGTCAAGTAAATCACATCATCACCATCGATCAACTAGTCGTCATCAATTCTTTAATATTCACGATCATCCACTACTTGGTAATATTACTAAAATGCCTGCAACAGCGAATGATTCCATGTATGTTGTTCTAGTTTTTATTGTTACTATCATCATCAGTAGTAGTAATGATGGTTGTATTGTACTATTTGTTTTTATACTTGGTTATCGATTATGATGCCCTTTTCCTCCTCATTTTGTCAATATCTTTCTCTCAAATTGTTACTTATTTCGTGGTGGTCATTTAGTATTCTATCCTTTCTGTCCGTAACTCTTCATGCACACTACCAATACATACGTTTAGTACATATCATCTCTTTGTATGTGCTTATGTGCATATATGTGTATGTGTAAGATTATTTCATCTTTTCTTATGTAAATCTCACATATATAAGAATAAATAAATTAGGCTGTTCCAAATGTGTACAATAGTGGTATGTACGTGTAGAAAAAACGATGTCCAATAAGAAATATCAGGCGTTTTATTTTATTTTTGTATGGGAAATTGGGCGAATAGATGAAGTTATATTTTTACACCATATAGCTTAATACAAATGGACATTTTGTTTTGTTAAAGGAAATAATAATAACACTAATAGCTATCTATCATTTCAATGTTTTTCATGTATTCCTAGTTGAGTATGTGTTTCTTTTCTTGTTGTCATGATGATGATAGTATTTTATTGATATTGTAAATATTCTGCATTATATTTGTCTGGCTTCCGTTCTAAAAGTTATATCACGAAGCCCTATTTATTGAATTATATAGAAGCTAAATTATATTATTTATTTATTTAAACACATAAACATTGATACAAGGAGGCACCAAATAGATATGTGCCACATAGATCATTCGATTTGTGTGAGTGTTGGGATACTGCCTGGGTGCCCAGACCGAAGCAGGTGGTTTCCTTAGGGGGTCCCACTCTGAGCCTTGGACCTAAAGGTCTAACCCACAAAGCAGTGGAGCATCGTGAGGAAATGCAGTCCCATGGTAGCCGGTGACCAACAATTAATTCATACGCCATTTGTTCCCACAGGATACTGGAGCCCATGTGCACCATTGGTTAAATCGCTGGACATTCGCTTTTCGTCCTCTTAATTTCGTAAACAACAGTGATGTAACGAGAAGGCAGTGAGAAGGAATTCCCTGGCTGTATACGCGTGGCCGTGTGAGAGCATTTCGAGAGGGAGGGAGAGCGGGCGTGCCCATCCCACTCTCGGCCATACCAGGGCATTTGGGGGCCAAATTATATTCCGTTAAAAGAAAGAGGTAAACCAGTGAATGAATGTTTTCAATACATTTATTGACAAGAACAATAATCTATGAATATTTTACACGTTCATATGAAGTCAGTTGTGGACTGAATAGTCCCAGTATATATACATTTCTGATTCATAACTGGATGATATAAGTTTTCAGTTCTATCAATTCCATAAGAATTGATTGCAAATATACATTGCTAACGATTGTTACTGATAAGTCAATTTAAAATAATGTTGTATAGAATAGCTCTGACTGTACTATAGTGACTCATATTTGAAGTTTGTTAAACTAGTGAATAGAATGCCGTTCAATGATGTTCATATTTAGTGTTTGGTTGTATCAGAATATATGTATTAAATAAATAAATACAATATAGAGTCAGTTGCCGACCTCTAATACGATTGAATTGCCGACGGCAAATCTCAACTTAACTAATATCTAAAAAAAAACACAATCAATCGTCTATTTATACTTTTACTACCTCTAGCACTATGGGATTTGATTCGAAAATTGTATCTCTATGTTAATGTGGTATGGCAACTCGAATTGATGTACGTACGTACGAAGTTCTGCGTTGTTGCCGACCGACCGACTGACTGATCATTTGACATATATATATTGGTGTTCCGTCTAGTAGAACAAAAAATTTCCATAAAAATAAGCAAAATTAAATGTCGCTTAACAAACAATTAATTAGGGTATATGAGTTTTGTAGGTCTATACATTTTTTAGTAGAAATTACACTTGATTATTAGCCCTAATTCTTCATTTATCATATTACAAAATATACCACAATGCCAAGTCAATTATAAACGAATAGTTGTACCATAATTGATTCATGAATTGTTTCTTCGCTTAATGACTAACTTTCAAATAGATGCCTGATATTTCAATAAGGAACAGAATGAACAAGCTGTGGGACGCATATGGAGAAATTCGAACACTGCACTTCTATCTGAAGTTTGTTCTAATGATGTTGTTTAGAAGAACGATGAAAGCTCCACGACCAAACCATCCAGCTCAGAGAACAAAACTCCATCAAAATGATTATTATCGATAACATTAGAATCGAGTGTTACTTGAGATGATTTATTTATTGAAGTTGAAAATGCTGACAATTTAATCCTGACTAACTGAATCAATAATCTAGTATTCTTTGCAGAACGTAAACGTCATATGTATATACTGTTTAGATACTAAGACAACACAGGTATTTCAGTAGTTTTTGATATTCAATGTTTGCTACAATTAATGTTAATCCCTTAGGCAAAAACTCATCATCTCTAAATTGAGTTAATCCTCCAGTATCAGTCACCATTCAATATAAAGGAGAGAGATCTCTTAATGCTATTGTCTCCCTCCCATATGAACCGTTAAAAAACTATAAATAAAACACGATTTTATTTATCAACATGCTTTGTGGCTACTCATCAATAAGCATTAACTGTTGCATCTTGAACTGGAACTCAGGAAATTCAGATATACGGTTTGTTTAACATTCAATACTGTCAAACAACTAAGTCTAAACTCATCAGGATTCATATTTTTAAGCTTGAATGTTTTATGAAATCATCTAATTTACCTTCATATAAGTATTTGAATGGTAAAGCTGTAGTATAATGATTCGTGTTATTAATAATATTGACAAATAATTCTATTCATTAATATTAGTATGATATTTATGTCTAGCCAACTATGTACAGTCTGCTACTACGACTACTAAATATGTTTTCTCAAGGTGAAAAAAGCCGCTTAGTCGTTTGATCTTCAAATTTATTCGAATATGCACACGTACATATATACATACCATACACGTAACAGAGTAGTTCATTTCTTTCTTTATGTATCGGCTAGTTCAGTTTTCGTTTTTACTCTTTTATGTGTAACCGTAAAGTTTACTTGATTTTGTAAAGTTGGATAGAACAATATAACACTCGCACTGAGAAAAATCAGTAATACCATATACTACTACTACTACTACTACTACTACTAATAATAATAATAATAATAATAATAATAATAATAATAATAATAATTACTATTATTACTATGGTGGTATTGTGGTGCGTGCTACTTATATTGACATAAGTAGTATATGACACGAGTCAGGAATGTAATGTCTGGCAGCGGCAGAAGATTGAAAAGATCAAGAAAGAAAGAATGGGAATAGAAAGTAATTAGTATAGAAATGCAAGATCAATGAAGTCAGAGACGTTTATTGAACATTTTGCAAATTAAGTATTACAGTAGGGTTTTTCTATTTTACCAAGTAACTCTGTAATGTTGTGCAAATTATAATTCGATTGTCCCCACCGGTGTTGTGTTCAATACAACAGTAACTGATTATTAGGAGAATTTCATTTATTTTACATACATGTGAATTGAGTGAATAATTTTCATTGATGAATTTTAGTACCATTTAAGTCATCATCGTATTTTAAAAAAATTGTGTCTTTGTGTCTCTGAGCAAGTTTATATGTTTGTCGTCTATGTAGTAGTAAGTAAACGGCTCTATATTATACCTAAGTAATACTTTTATTCATTCTATATCTATACTACTAGTAACCAATATTCTTTGGATGTATATCTTACCGTCTCTATATATGGGTTTCTGTGTGTGTGTGTGTGTGTGCGCGTTCCGATGCAACTATTCACTTTATTATTATTATTATTACTATTATTATTATTATTGTAACTACAAAGCGATTTTCCGACACACAAACGTTTCAGTTATTCAAAGTAATTGTTTCACTAAGAAAATAGTAATATGCAAAAAAAAAGATTCTTTTTTTCTGGCTTTATCACAACAGAAACAAAAGATAATGATACATATTAAGTCATTATTTTAGTCATAGATACATATATAAACAACAAGAGAAAAGAGAATGAATACCATTATGTATATACAAATAAAAAGATCAAAGGTAAATTCATTTATGTGGTGTGTATGTATTGTAAATGTACATATATATATATTAAGTTATAAAACGCTTACAACATATAGATTGACTAGAAGTTATTCTTTATTGATTATAGATTTTTAAACCGTTATACGGGTTAATACATTAAATGGTTAAAATATTTCGGTTTATAACCGAGTTGGTCATAAGTTTAAATCCTACTTGTACGAAGGATCCACCTAGAGGAGTTGGAAAAGTCTTATTTCAAACCAATAGTGCAGATGGGCTACAGAATTTCGAGGTAACAAATGGTGCATGAACCAATTATTGGTCCCAATTGTGGTCCCATACTAGGACGAAACGGCCGTCCAGTGCTTCCAGGTTTTCAATGGTGGTCTAGCTTCAACTGACTCATGATTTAAATCTGTGAAAATTTCTAAAATCTCCACAAACCCCTTCTGACAATATTTATGTGTTCGAATAAATAAATTGTATGAAATAGTACACAAGAATGTTCTTCCGATTCATTAGTTGATTATGTCTAGATATCATATAATAAATGTGAATCGAAGCGTAATGTATGTGTAGTAGCTGTCAATGTAATTCAGAGAGTTTGTTTCGTCTGATCTGGAAATCGCTAACTGGGTGTAGCTGCATCTCAGTGTTGATATTCAGACCGGAACTCCAAATCCCACTACCTTACGTTTCAAATGTCCAATTCGTTGTCCACTGAACTTTCTGAATCCCATTCCTAGTCACTACCCAACTTTGTTAAAATTGTTGTGAATATCTAACAGAACGTGGGCAATCTTCTCCGGATGCACATATTTCTGAGATGACGGATCATTTGTAGTTTTTAGTACCAACGAGAAGACACACATATGTATGTTTTATAGAATACGCTAAATATCAAATAATTCAGCTAGTTTTTTATAACATGAACACCGGTCTTTCTGCATAGTACACTGTGTAATGTTGAGTTGTGACCCAGTAAACTAGACACATTTCAATATTTAAGTTTACTCAACTTACTGAGTGATGTCTATTAAAAAAGTAGTCTGAAAATTACTTTTGATGATTGGAATTTTTAACGCTTATTCAACAATATTTAGCATATAATTATACGCTATTCCAGTACTATTGAGTGGATTTTGTCACCTATCAATCACTTCATGGACTAATCCCATTTCTTAATTTGATTACCATTATCATCTCTCTGATATACTCGTATGTTGATCAATTAGTAGGTGGCTGTTGTGTATGTGCAATGCTTATCCCAAATATTCCAACAGATGCAGCTTCATAGCACTACATGTGCTTGACAGTCTTACCTCATATGAACAATACTTCTAAGAAACCTTCAAAGACAGTAATGAACTTCCCCTTTAATGATCAAGCAATTCAGGTTGACCAAAGCCAGACAATTTATTCATAAGCGTGATGAAATTATGTCACCTATCTATTCACAAATGAAGATAATAAAACTCAAGATTGTTAAGATCGTCAATGCTCTCCACTGTTTTATTTTCTGTTATCAGAATGGAGACACCCAGAAACTGCATATTGAACTTTGAGGGAGTGAAACGTTGTCAAAACATTCCCAGATTGTTAACTGGTGAACTTACAACACTGTATCATCTTAGAATACATAACAAATAAAACTGTCGTTTATATACTTAAAATTGGTTAGAAAGTCTTTAATTAAGCTTTCAATAATCTATGAAAAGTTGTCTAGTGATGGCATCACCTTCAGAAAGATATTCATTAAGCAACCAAACATAAATATATTTAATTGAACAACCTTGATGGATACTGATTGAGGATGAAGATTAAATCTTTTGTCTTATAGACATAGAATGGAATGAAACTGTCCTAGTGTTTTTGGGTGTATCAAGCAACACCTTTTACAATTGTTAAATATTTCTAATATGTATATACATAAATTTTTGATTTAGGTTGTATATGAAATTTAACTATACCGTACACATTGAGAGGACACCTCCTAAACTTACTTTGGGGCATTTATACAGGCGAGATACGTGTAACTAATTCTATTAGTTTTTGATTGAGATCATGAACCAATTGATGTTAGACCACCATTGAAAACCTGGAAGCACTAGACGACCGTTTTGTCTTATTGCGGGACTCCTCAGCAGTGCGCGTCCACGATCTCGCTCACGTGATTCGAACCCAGGGTCTTCAGTCTCGCGCGCGAACGCTTAACCTACTGGACCACTGAGCTGGCCGGCATCCAATGGTGTTAATGTCTAACATCAACCAATCTACGAAATTGCGGGACCATCTTCCATTGTACTGAGGTACACACCTGTTTCTACCCGATACGGTTTTAGCTCTAGTGGTCACGGCTTCTGATGAAGATTACTTTTTAAAAAGAAATATATTATCACAGATTGAAATCATGAGTCAGTTGAGGCTAGACCACCATTGAAAACCTGGAAGCACTGGACGGCCGTTTCGTCTTAGTATGGGACTCCTCGGCAGTGCGCACCCGCGACCCCGCATCCCTCGGGATTCGAACCCAGGACCTATATATTACTAATAAAACCGATTACGCAATCATTTGGTTGTGATGTCTGAGTTTAAAAATACATGATAGATCATGAACATTTATCACTTATGCTGTTTTCTTCTAAGTTACCTTACCCTACCAAGTATAATGTTCTTTGTACATTACAAATAAGTTTGTTTAAATCTATGTATCAAGTTTTTTTCGTGACGAATTCGTGTTGTTTCATTGCGTTTTTTGTTTTCTACGAAACTATCGATTTTACTTATTCAGACATACATATAATATGCTTAAATACACTACAACTACTACTATTATTACTACCACTACTACTGTTAAAAACAATAATCATAATTTCTCTGCGTCTTTAATAATTTTTAACAGCTGTGTTGTTGTTGTCTACCATATGCATTCATTGATATGTATTATGCATAGTCACGGAAGTGCATTTCACTGTTTGTTTGAATGTTAGTATATATATACATATTGCCGATTATTCCTGTCATAACTAACTGATACACTGTCATTTACCAACACAAATTGGTTGCATTGATCACCGCGGTATATATACATGCCTACATACTCTATTCGTTTTAGTGTTTTAATGAAATGAAGACAGTTTTACTCTCTGTCTCTCTCTCTCCCAATCCAATAGGTCTATTGTTATTATTATTATTATCATTAATATTATTTGTATTGTTGAATGTTGTTACAAGCAGAATGATGATAGTTAAAGCTTGTTTTTCTAAAAAAAACGGTGATATGTGCATAATTCAATATGAAAATCCACGTACATAAATACACACACGCACACTTCAACATCAAAAACAAATCTACTTATTTTTGTTTGTCGGTTAAAAGCGTCCTTTAACTATGGCGGCAATGGCGGCGACGGTACTTTATGACAAGCCTTATGTATTATCTATGTGTTTATGTGTATATATACATACGTATATACACACGTGGAAAACTTTGCCTCTTTTGTCATCGGATTATATCTACATAACTGTTTCTATGTATGTATGTGTGTATGTTTACTTGTGTTGTTTACCTATTGATTGTTTGTCCACAAAATTTGAATGTATTTGTGTATCTCTTTCTATCGGTTTGTTTGTTTGTTTGTCTCTCACTATCCGTGTTTTTTTTCTGTATTGTGCATTTTCTATAAATGTATCTATGTGAATGTGAATGTGAATAGCCTTTATAATATTTTGATTATTCTGCTTTTCAATGGAACATGTACAAATAAAACCCCGGTAAACTTACAAAGGAATACTTTCATTCTATAGATTTTCTAATCACATAACAATTCCATACACACAAACACACACATACATACAGAGGGATTCATACATTTGACCTCATTTATTAAAATGAAATAATCTAAAGTGTGCTTGATTAAGAGATAAGTGATATGATTTTGTCATAGAATTTTCTTTGTTTCGTCATAGTTTGGTGTCGGCTTTTTCTTTTCTTTTTCGGAGGAATCAAAATCGATATTATACCTTAATTGTGAATAATACCATATTTGGTAAAAATTCAAAGACATTCAAAGGATGTGGTAGTTGGAGGTAATCAATAGGAAACTCTAATATGACAGTGATGTCGATGAATTTCTCAATCCTTTGATTGTTTATTTACAGATTTTGGAGGAAATCAGTTGATTACAGGTTAAATTAATCTTTCCATAACTAGTATCGGTGAGACTATAATTTATGGACGGACCAATCATGTATAAGATAGTGGGTCTGGGATTTTTGCACGAAATCCACTCATCCATTTGGATAAATAGAGTTTTAGCATTATAGCTGATGTCAGTTCGTGATGAAAACCCTAAATCTAATTCCTAACCTTAACCATCAACTATAATCCATAATTCGAATTCCTCCCACAGGTTTATAACCCTCATTTTGTCCTACTTATTAAGTGGATACTCCCAAGGTCAGTCTAACGTCGCTCAATGGTCGTCCATAAATTGTTATCTCACCCTAGTATCTAGTCTCCACGTCATTGAAATCTATGCGTTAACAGATACCTCAAATTCAGTTAAAAGTATAGAGAGAACAGAGAAATACAAATCCTTACGAATAACACTCATTTTGATATATTTCTTGTTTACTTTCTCACTTAAATTGGTATCATTATTTTTCTCATCACTGTCCTAATATGATATGTAGCAACTTGGGCTGAAATATCTTTCCATCAGAGCTACCGCTGATTATAACTGATGAATTGATTTCACTAACGAAGTATTTGTACGTTGTATCCATCATAGATTAGTCTCAGTTACAGTACCATTAAAAACCAGAGAACACTGGATAGATGTTTCGTCCTAATATGGGACTCTTCTACACAGTACAATAAACAACCACTCCAACTGAAATCAATCTACGACAAATACAACCAGTCTCTATAAAACTTCATTTAACCAATCGTTTGTTTAATCCATTTATCTGATTACATCTAATTCTTGATAATTAATATTGTTGTTTAGATTAACTGATAGTCATCTACAACAAGTAGACAATCATGCAAAAGATACAACCAGTTCAAAACGACAACATGATAACAGCAACATTTATGACAGTCAATCACAATTCACAAATCAACCGTGTTTTATGAATAATAATAATAATAGTAGTATTAGTAATAGTAATAATAATTCACAACCTGCAAACGGCTCAAGTCAATTATTAACACAAGCACCTATTACATCTTCATCAGTAATAACAATGCAGTCAGTGAATTCAACATCAAATAATGCTGATTTACCATATATGCATTCAATTAATTTACGGCAAACACATCAATCGGATAACGTTATAAAAGAGTCTAATACTACTACTACTACTAATAATAATGATAATAATCTTCCCAAAATAAACTGGACAATAAGAAAACAAACAAATTTAGCTGAATCAGATCCAGTTTCATTTGTTCAGTTATTAACAGATCGATTAGAGAAAATAAAAGAATCACGTGGTAAATTAGAAAAATTAATGTCACTTGTTAATCATCAGGTAAGTTTTGTTTTACTTTATTTATTTTATTTTATTTAAACACATAAACATTGTTACAAGAAGGTACCAAATAGAGGTATGCGCTACATAAATAATTTGGTTTGTGTGTGGGCTGTGACACTGCGTGGGTGCCCAAACGGAAGTAGGTGGTTTTCTTAGGAGGCCACACCCGGAGCGGTTGGCCTAGAGGTCTGATCCACATGGCAGTCCCATGGTAGCCGGTGACCAATGACTGGTTCACGCACCATTTGTTCACTCAGGATACTGGAGCCCATATGCACCATTGGTTTGGAATGAGGGCTTTCCAACTCCTCTTTGTGAAACTGCATATCCACTAAACCGGTTGAAGCGCCAGACATTCACTTTTCGTTCTCTCGTAAACAACAGTAATACCGCGAGGAGGCAGTGAGTTGGACTTTCCTGGCAGTGGCTATATACGTGTGTCCATGTGAGAGCATTTCGATAGGGAGAGCGACCCCCCCCCAACTCTCGGCAGTACTAGGTCATTTGGGGGCAGATTTAACACTATATGAAACGCTTTATTTACTGGACTTTCTTCATAGTTGGGAAGATTTTATTGACTTATTTCGATATTTTGAATATCGATTTGGTGATTATTAATTATAGCTTGTGCTAATATTGTCGATTTACTTTGTAAATTTTACAGTTCTACAGTATTATTAATTCATTTTGTGTAGCTTAAGTGTTCCTTGGCACGAGTCGAGGTTTCACGAGAAAACTCTCTAATGTAGAACTAATCACAATCGGCACAACCTAACCTACAGACAAAATTCTATGTTCATTCAAAACGGCCCCCAAATGCCCTGATACGGACGAGAGGGGGAGAGTCAGTTCTCGCTCTCTCGAAATGCTCTCACATGCTCTCACACACAAATATAGTATTATTATTATCATTATCAAGAATATGTTTCGAAAATGGAAAGTCATGTATGGAGGAATACTGAATCTAAAATGTAGACTATGATAAAAAGTGAACTGTTCTAAACTTAGTCCTCAACCTTACTGTCCAACCCAAAATATAAAGGTAGTAATTGTCTAACATGGAAACCCTCAAAATCGTCCAAAGAATGAACTCAAATAAACCATTTTATTATCAGTCATCATGCGAAAAAGCTCGGTAGAAAACTCGTCCGTACTGGAGCATACATTTAGATTTGGATTATGCTCTAGTGGGAGTATGTGTTTGCATATGTCTTGCCCAACGCAGAAGAACCACAACGAGAAGATTCTTTAGGGTTCAACGCGACAATGAAAAAGTCAAGCGTTTATTTCATGGATAGTTAGAGAAACACTTGCTCGATCATTAGAGAACCATTCAACTTTATATAACTTTAATATAAGACTACTTAAACACTATTGTACACCATAAATTGGACGTCAAAATTATGGCCTAGCCATTCATAAGAAGAACACACATTTTGGTTAAATCATATCCTCTCAACCAAGTAGTTTGATTGTGAAGTTTTCTTCATTGTTATTTTTAACATCATCAGTGTTTACTTCAAGTAGTTTTTTTTAAAGAGAAAATCATTATTCTGTCAACCGATTCTTACTAATTATCTTCATAGGTTCCGTTAATTTCATGCCTATTTCCATATACTTGTTAATTGATTGGTGAGACTAAAATTTATGGACGACCATTGAGCGACGCTAATGTAACCTTGAGAGTGTCTACCTACTTACTAGGACTAAATGAGGGTTATAAAACAGTTTGAAGAATAAGGATTATGATTTACATTTGATGGTTAGGGTTAGGAATTAGATTTAGGGTTTTCATCGCAAACTGACATCAGTTATAATGCCAAAACAGTCAGTCATAAAAGTAGTTAATTCAGAGGTGGTAATATATAAAAGAAAGATTGCATATAATGATATAATATAGGAAGAAAGAGTTAGTTCGTAGAAAGAAAGATGTGAAGTGATTTTAATGTCTCAGTTTAAAGGAAGACATGGAGTATACACACCGACGCCGTTGTGATCGATCGATTCTTAGCTATGTCACCAAGAGTCTCCAACCATTGGTTACGATAGTCACACGGACCCCAACCAAGTAGTCTGCATCTACCAACATGGCTCAGATTAGAAATTAGTGACTCTATTTATCCAAATAGATGAGTGAATTTCGTGCCGAAATCTAAGACCTTTTATCCTAATTCTGATTGGTTAGGTCCATAAATTATGGTCTCGCTAAATTGATTTCATTAAATTAACATCTAGTTTTTATGTGACTACTTAGATGAACTTGAAACAATGTTTTTTATATCTTAACATTGAATAGGTTGACGAAAAACATCCAACAGAGTCTAAAAGTACTCTACCAATAGGACAAACTGATCCACATGAATTCATTTCTGTCAATCAACATAATGCATCACATCATTTAGATCATTCAAATTGGTCACAATTAAAATCTAATTCATTCATAAATACTACTAATAGTATAATGAATGAAACAAATTCTTCAACTATTCAACAACATACATTAAATTATCCTCATAATTCTACATTGATTATGAATACTGGATCTCAATTATTGAATGGTGTTAATAAATTTCAAGATGCTCAAGAAATATTAGATGATCATTGTTCACGAATTTGGGCAGATGAATCCGATGTGAATATAGATACACAATTATTATTATCATATTCCAAAAGACAACAAAATGATTTAATGCATACACCAATATCTAGTCAACCTTTATTAATGACACCATATCCTTCAATGTTATGTGATACACTTGTGAATTCAATGAAGCATAATACAACTGGTATTGTACGCAGTGGATCTAATGTTACAGAGTATGAACTGAAAAAATTAATGGAAAAAAGTAAACTTGCTACAGTAGTTGTTTCGTCTACAGACTCTTCTTTTTTATCTTCAAATGATAATAATAATAATAGGACAGAAATATCGGATAATTCTCATCGGAGACGACATATTACTGCTTCTGGTGGTAATGTGACTTATCGAAGTTTCAGTCGACCTAATAAAGCTGATCTACGGTCTATCGCTTCATGGGATAGTGGTGTTGTAAGTAATTATTATGAAAAAAAGCATCGATTACATCATCATCATCATCGTGATGATTTAGATATTATGGATGATACAGTAGACACTGTATCAATTTTAGAAGCGGCTAGTTTGCAAGCTTTATCATCATCAACTACAGAGTTAGCTCTTGTCAATGGTGAAGTAACTGCTAAACTAGTTGAGAAAATTATACGTCATTATCCACGTGGAATATTCGATGGTGACGATGATTATGTTAGAAAGAATCATACAAATACAAGTGAAAAGTCATATTTCAAATCAAGTCAATTCAAAGAAACCTCAACTTTGGATCATGCATATCCATTTAGTAGTAGTAGGTTGAGAAGAAGAAGTAAACAGTGTGAGTCTTTTTACGAATCACCGTCATCATCATTATCTTACCCAATCCCTGGTGTTAATTTGAATTCTACATGCTCTGCTAACAATACTACCACTGCTACTACTGGTACCTGTCAACAACACCCTGGCATAATGATCCCACATGAATGTCATCGTTGTATCCATTGTACACATTCACCATCAGCATTAAATGATCATTTATCAGCAAACTATTGTAATTGTAATTATATTCATCAATTAAATGATAAACCTCAACATTCTACTACTTGTCATAGTCAACAATTGCCCATTATTACTGCTTCAGATACATCGAGTACTTTTGACTCAGGAATATCATCTGCATACGATCAACTACCTTTAAGAAAACAAGTAAACAACAATAGAGAAAATCGAAGCCAGTATGTGTTTATTATTTTACTTTACATGATTACTAGTATTATATTGAGTTTTTTTTTGGGGGGGGGACCATTAAGTAAAAACATTCACACTTTTTTGTTGTTAAGTATTATACTTTATGAAGCAGTAGCCTACTGTAGTCACCTTCCTATTTATTTCTAGTTATTCTTGTCGTTATTAAGGTATGTTGTACCATTTATGTAATTCTCATCAAAGTTCGTTTCATAAAATATTGTTGATTATTCAAGTAATAATTCTCATCTGATCTAAATATAGACCAACAAACCTCACTTTTTACGTCTAATGGTGACATTATATAGTTTTCTATATCATGATGATGTCAACAAAGATTGCCAGATAGTTTCTGTTAAATTAATGCGATTGTCAGACTTATCTGTCATTGATAAATCTAAAAAAACTACGTTAACTGGAACATTATGTCTCTGTTGGGTCGCTCGGTAAGATCAAAAGCGGAAACTCTCGCAGAAGAAGTCTTACTATCGACTCTGATAGTAGCTTAATTATGGATAGCCAGTAACTCAAATGATCGTGCCTTTCTAAAGATGAAAGAAAGGTTTATGAAAGTGATCGACCTTAAAATAACACACATCAATTTGTCCCATTGGTTTTTGATGCTGATGATATGTTTCTGTAGGTTGTGAAACTATAGTCATTTCTCCAGATTGATAAGATCCTCGAAACTAAATCAATTTTCAATTTAGATTTCTCCAGAAATGAAGTTCTACAATGTTGGCAATCAGAATATGTCGACCCCCACACCACACTGTGCAGATCGTAAAACAAGGGATAATATGCTTTCAACTTGATGATGAGATATGGTATACTGAATTCTGATGCAATAGTATGTTTGGCGGCAGCTTGGTGCACATTTGTGTAATTGACCTCGAGCCACTCTTTTTAAAATGAAAGCTAATGTTCAATCGAGCTAACTTGAAGTAGGGTGAATATCGAGTACGGTTAGTCAGTCGTCTACAACGTAGGACTAGGCATATATACGCGTCGGTCCAGGTTGCCATACCTCAATGGTAGTAATATTATATAAATAAAGATTGCATATAAGGATATGATACAGAGAGAAAGAATTAGTTCGTATAGAGTGATTTTAACGTCACGGTTTAAGTGAAGACGAAGAGCGTATACACCGACGCCATTGTGATCGATTCTGAGCCATGTCATCCACAGTCTTCAAATGTTGGTTACGATAGTCGCCCAGTCTGCATCTACCAATATGGCTCAGATCAGATGTTAGTGACTTTATGGGCTGATATTGAGTTCCTTAATAATAAGTTCTCAGCTTCTGGACAAATTAATGTAGTGACTATGAAGCTCTCAATCTAATTGATACACGTCAGTCAAGAATATCTAGAATTTCGAAGAGGCTGTTGCTCTCCATGGGATTTAAAATCAAACCACTGTCTCACAGTCAGAGTCGTTACTATGGAGCTATTTTGAAGCAATCTGATTATTTGTTATGAAATAAAATTCCTAGATAATTGTATTTAGTTTAGTCGAAATTTATATTTTGTGAACTTCAGCTCAATTATTATTATTATTATAGGAGCCTTCACAGTTGGCAAACAAATCCTAACTTCAAGGATAAACATCTTTCCACTCTACGAGGAAACCGTACCCATTCTGCGTCAAAATCCATGTACGACAATAATAATAATAATAATAATAATAATAATAATAATAATAATAGTGTCACTACTGCTTATACACGTGAGTGCCCTCTAACAAACTGCCTCATTTCATCGTGTTATGAATTTGATTCGAAACAGACAACACCTGGACAACAGTTTAGTCAACATACTATGAATGATTTACACTTATGTGATTCATGTTCTTCAGCACATCATAATTATCATAACATTCGTCATCATTATCGTCATTCTCATTTTCTTCACCATCATTCTAACTGTCCAGAATTGATGATCAATGATTTGAATTATAAATATGGTAAGTTATGAGATTTTGATTGCTATACGAATGTCCGTTTTTCTTCTTTGAACAATTCCACTCCTAACTATTTAATATTAATCCTAACTAACCTCAACACAACCGTCCAACTGAATAGATATTTGAAAATATGGATTGTGTGTGTGAGGATCCGGAACAAACCCAAGATTCTCTGACTAAGAAGTGATTATCAACGGTTTCATCCTAACTTGTACTCCTTGATCGATGTAAATCCAAAGTCCGAAAAGATTCGGGCCCGAAACCTTTTTACTTTGTGAGCAACCCAGTATATCTGGATCACTGAGTCAAAATTCAATTATCATCGTTCCCAAATTCAATGTATTCGCGATCCAACTGAGGGGTCGTTTAGATCGTTTCAATTATATCTGTCCTTCTGCTAACATCCTCACACTCCACTGGTTACAACTTTTGATTAGGATTTCAGGAATCATATCTCCAAGCTAGTCAGTAGAACAGTTATTGAGTGAGTGGCCACATGCTTCATGTTTCCAACTTCAGTTAATTCACGACACAATTCCGCGTTGTTGGAAATATTGTTTGTTTTGGAATGTAGTCAAGCAGTAAAATTCTAGACGACCTATTGTCTCGTCCCATTTAGGACATGGTATCTGTATGTGCTTATAACCCACTGTTATCGATGTTTACATTGACACTTGAATCAATTACTTCCAGTATCAATCTATTATGCTTTGGGTAACTGAGTTCAAACATGTACTAGTTTTTCGACATAGCGTATAATATTATTCTCATGGTTTTTTTAATTACCGCTCTTGTCAGTATTCGCGACTATGACCTGAATTTCATCTCTATCTAAAAGCATAGAAAAATTTATAACTAACAATTAAATTTTAATAGTTGGGATCATGAGTCAATTGAAGCTAGACCACCATAGACAACCTGGAAGCACTGGATGGCCGTTTCGGCTCGAGACCGATAGGTCCTGTGTTGGAATCTCGCGAAGCGGGATTGTAGATACACACTGCTAAGGAGTCCTACAATAGGACGAAACGATCGTCCAGTGCTTCCAGGTTTTCTATGGTAGTCTAGCTTCAATTGACTTATGATCTGAATTATTGAAATTACTATAATGTCCACAAAACCCCTTGTGATATTGTTATGTTCCGATTAACATAATGAATGGTAACTCTGGGATCCTTTTTATGGACCAATACTAAACGTATATTTTTATCGTATAATTGTCAAATAACTCAACTATTCATATTCATATTCCTCTTATTATAAGCTTTATTTTGACCTATGAACTATTAATATACGACTTACCATTCATGAATTATGCTCTGTCCATTGGTCATTGCCTCCCACATTCACGGCCACATTTGGCCAAATTTTGTGCAAATGTTATTTTTTATTTTATGGTACGTTGTGGTCTGTTTGGTTGGTGTATATAAACCGAGTATGTTTTAAATATAAGGATTCATATTGCAGAGGTTGAGATTGTTGTTCTGGACTTAAGTGACTGGGCTAAGCAGGAAGCAGGACCAATCAGAACTCTAGACTGCTCACACGTGTTTTATGCGTCGTGGATCCGATCGATAATTCACTGTTTCTGATTAGCGGCTTTGGGCAATAACAGATATTAACAACTAAGTGTCATATCAATTATCTTCCTTATTTACACACAACAAGTACACATACAATTAGATTACTAATCATGTGTATTATATACCTATTGAAGATAATGAAAGTTATTATTCTTATATAGAGGTTGTCTTTTATTCGATTCGTTTATTTATATGAGATTAAATGATAGTAATGGTATAAATGAAATATAATCATCATAATCAGTAATTGTAATTGTATAGTAATGAGATTAATTTTCTTCTATTTTAACTTTTCACTTGTCGTTATTTTGTTGTTGTCGTTGTTGTTGTTGCTATACTGATATGCATAAATGATTTCAAAAGAAACCGCAAACTGTTTGTGATTCTTTTTTCCTTTTTTCTTTCTTCCATTCATATTTGCGTTTATATTATGAATGATATAGTCCCTTTGAAGTGTGTAGAGTAAAATGCTTATTTTCTTTTTTTAGACTAAACTGTGTGTTCTTTTTCTTCTCTTCTTTATATCCATATATGTATGTGTATATTGAATAGTTTATCTTGTTTATCTCTTGTTATTTACTTTTGTCCAATACAAAACACTTTTTACCGTCCTATTGACTTTGATGTTTTTTATTTGTTTATTTGCTGATGTGATGAATACCGGTGTCTATTTATTCTTTATGACTATATACATACACACATACATACATACATACAATTCTCCGTATATTTTCTTTATCCCTGTGTACTTTTCATGTATCATCGACATATAGAAAATATACGTCTACATCTAATAGTAAATTACAAGCTTATATTATTATTATGTCGGTAATTTCTTTGATCATCTCAATAATAGTTCTATTTGCTTTGCGTTTCTATGTGTATCTATGTTGATTTGGTTTGTTAGGAATTAACAACTGATGAAATCTATACAAACTACAACATATGTTTTGATTATGATCAAATGTGTGATTCCTATCACAATTATGATCACTGGGTGGTGATCATTATCATGTTTGTCAAGTCCTTATTATTGCAGATTGAATGCTATCGATCATGTTGCAATGTGGCCACCAGTCTAGGTAACTCGACACTGTGGGCACTATATATTGAGATTTAGATGGTGGTTGGAGGTAGTCTATAGGAAACCCTGGACCGGGTGTACCTGTAATCTGGGTGACGCGAGATCGAATCCGTGTGGAAGCACCAGTTCCTCAAGATTACAGGTACACCTTGCTAACGAGTGTCAAGTAGCACGAAAACTTTGTGATTCCTATATTATACATGCCATTTTAAAAAATAAATTTTTAATAGATGATTTTAAAACTAACTAGAGAACGATAGAGAATTGTTTAGCTAATTCATTTTCATTTAAGATTTCAAACACATTACATCATATCTATCATTCTTGACGAATTCAACAAAGTGAAATTATCTGTGATTGGTGAATATTTATTATGACCTTTAAGTCATATCTCCAATTTAGAACGTTGCAACATCCGTTTTATCGAATTTCATCAATGGTCAGTAACTATAAGTAATTAATTTCAATGATTTATGTGTATGTGGGGGGAGGTAGCAGTATGTATAACTAGCAAGAAGGTGGTCTCTGAGAGTACTAGTTCTTTCATGAATCCTGATATACCTTGTTGACAAATGCGATTTAGTACGAAATACAGATTATTAAAAATTTCCTGATAACTAAATTCACCCATTAACCTATATGTAAAATCTATGTTATTAAGTTTGATCATTTCAATGAATGTAATTTGACGTAATAAATTGGTTGACTGATCTTCTCTAAAAACTTTGATCCACAAGTATTATAAGCAAAGATGGATAGTTGTTAGCAGGTGGAATCCAGTTTGACGCGCGTTTCATCTTATTTGGGACTCGTCAACGATATGTACCTGTATCTCAGAGTTGATGTTCACTCCTGGACGAAATGCCCATCCTAGATTCCATTGCTAATCATAATCTTTGTTTAAAATATCTTAGTTTGTGTCAAATATGGTTGGTGATAAATCCATAGACGAGGATTATCCATTGTTACTAACATCCAATGTCTCATTTAAAATAAACTAACATTTTAAGCAAAATTACCTTTCTATTGACCAGTTAGAAAGTTAAAACAATTAGTCCCTTCGATAAATCTTGATAATACTATGAGAAGACGAAATTTATCAGAATTATTGAAGCCTTGGCTATACAGACATTGAAACAGCCTTTATGCGTTCAAAAACAATTTGTGCTTACCCTTAACCTACCTTAGTGGCTGCTCCGAATGGAGCTCCTCTATGTCTACTGCTGGTTCCAAACCCGGATAAAGGAGGAGGGTTGAACATAGAGTTAGGGACCCCATCTTGTTAAAAACTAACTCGCTAACCGGAAAAAATAATTAAAACCATTTAAACTCTACCCTGAGAGTTAGAAGATCTTCATTTAGAAGAATTATGACACCTCATAGTGAAAACCGAGTTCCTTTGGAAGTCACGAAGTTGGTTCACCTTCTGACAACCAGGTATATGAAATACTCTTACAATGTGAAAGACTGAGAGAGTCTTTCAAATCGCTACAGAAATGATAGGATATAACCTGGATGTGACTGAAATCATTGAAACACATTGGATACAGGTTTAACAACTAACTTCAGGGGAACTTCTATTCTACTTCATTTGATATTGATTATATTGATTACTTATTGCATTGCAAAAGATATCATGAATGATTACAAAGTAAACAGTATCATTATATAAACTTACCGATGTACATAAAGCGAATAGAGTTAAATATAAGCGCATTTTTCCCAATGATCTTAAGATGATAATCGTTTAGCTATTGAATATAATAAAAGTAAAATGAACAAGATTCCAATGGTGTTGTATCTTGTCTAATATGTGCATTTTCCTAATTACACTACTATAATCATCACTGATTGGTTAACAGATTTCTTTTCCCCCTATTTTGTTAGTGTGATTTGCTGATCGATCGTTTTATGATTAAATGAAACAATGTATAGGATAAACAATGAAGGATTTAATTTTGGACAAATATTTAACCGACAAATACCATCCTTATCATCATCATTATTGTTACTATCATCCCTATCACTAAACAAACATTATGACATTTCCATTAATCAGTCAGTCAGTCAGTCAGCTGCAACGTAGGACCAGGCACATATATACATCGGTCCAACATGCCATATCTCATTAGCACAACAAGATCAACATCGAATTCATAGTAGTCAATTAAATGGTGATAGTATATAAAAGAAAGATAGGATATAGTACAGGAAGAAAGAATTAGTTCGTAGAAAGAAAGATGTGAAACGATTTTAATATCCTAGTTTAAGAGAAGGCAAAGAGTGTATACACCAACACCGTTGTGATCGATCGATTCTGAGCCATGTCACCAAGAGTCTCTAA